AAAGTCACATTTAACTGGACACACTGTGTCTTATATAATATGACAAACCCACCTTTGGTCCTTCACCAGGAGGTGCCTGCCTCTGAGCCAGGCTGCGCCGATGCCATCCTGACTGTGGAAGGGCAGCTGTGTGACTTTATCTCCCAAATCTAAGGAGCAGGCTAACGCTAAATCTACCTCTAGGTGGATGTGGGGAGAAAGGAGGTAGAAGGTGTCTAAGTCCGAGTTACTCCTGTGGAAATGTTGCATACCCTCCCAGGACCACAGTTCCCATCACCGGGGTGTACTGCAGGGGCTGATGCTTGCTGCAATTCTAGAACCTTTCACAGAGCCTCAGATGCTGGCATCAGTCTGCCCAGAGGCGGAGGAGCAGGTGAGAGGGGTGGGGTTAAGAACCACAGGGCAAACCTGGACCTGACTCACTGTTTTTGTGATGGGGTGCAGGCAAAGATGAGGCAAAGTGTGAAAGCTAGTGCGGGGCTAGAGTCACAGCCCTAAACCCTCAAGGCCCTTGGGTCTCATTTGCCCTAGAATAGTGGTCGGCAAACTCATTAGTCAGAGAGCCAAATATCAACAGTACAACTACTGAAATTTCTTTTGAGAGCCAAAGTTTTTAAACATAAACTTCTTCTAACGCCACTTCTTCAAAATAGACTTGCCCAGGCCATGGTATTTTGTGGAAGAACCACACTCAAGGAGCCAAAGAGTCACATGTGGCTTGTGAGCCTCAGTTTGCCTACCACTGCCCTAGAACATTAGCCCTGGTTGTCCATGCTTTTGAAGAAGGTCTCAGAAAACACCACCCCTGTTTTCGGAATGTCAGTCAAAGCAAGGCCTTTGGGCACAGCCACCTTAGACAGATGCACTTGCAGGATGTGCCCGTTCAGCTAGGGGAGCTGTGCTCCCAGTGAGCAGGGACCATCACAGAGCCCTGCACTCAGGATCCCCGGCTCCACCTCCCTGGTCCTTCCCTCCGTGATGGCCTGGGGCTCGCAGACCTTGCCCCAGAGGTCCATTCGGGATTGCATGGCCAGCCCACAGCCACTGAGCCCTGGCTGGGGAACAGGACTCCAAGAAGCACCGTAGACCTCTGTCATGGGAGTGAACTGTGTCCCTGCACAAGCTCCCAAGGCTTTGCTGATGTTCCAGAATCCAAGGACGCTGGTCCCAAAGAGCTGTGCCATTGCCCCGGGAATTTCTGCCCTGCTGGCCAGGGTCTTCCTGGGACACCTTGACTTCAAAGCTGAGGTATTAGGCAAAGTAGCAAATGTGACAAATTCAGAGAAGGCAAGCTACAGTACTATGTCAATATCTTCCCATGCTGGTTCTCTGTGCCAAGGGGCTTCATACTTAGTGTTTCCCAGTACCCACTCTGAGAGCTAGTATGCCCATCCCACAGACAGCAGCATTCAGGTTCTGAGGATCTGTCCCCTTCGTCCTGGGGCCTCCTGCTTCCCAGGCAGGACATCTACCTACTCGCGAATTCCAATGGGAGATGTTAAAGGTCGGAGACAGAGGTGGGTGGGTAGGATGCAGCTCATGTAGCTGTCTCCTGCTGTGCCTCTCCAGGCCACACTCAGACCTGGGAGAAGGACTCACAGTTGGGGTGGAAGGGACATGGTACCCAGGGCCAGGGCTGAGAGCTCACGAGTCCTCACACTCTTCCTAGGACCTGAGCTCTCCTTAGCGAGGTGTCTCTCATCTCCCCTGGAAGACGGGGGTGAGGAAGAAGCCATACCTCCCTCATTGTACTACTCTGAGCCCAAGCGGTTTGTTTAATAGGGGGAAAAACCCAGGCCAGGTGCTCATTGGGTTGGACATCGTCCCATATACCCAAAGGTTGTGCATTAGATTCCAAGCATGGGCACAGGTTTCAGGTTCCATCCCAGGTTGGGACCCATATCAGAGGGAAGCAACCATTCTCTTTCTCCCTACTTCTCGACCTCTCTCCTCTCCACCCTCCTTCCCGCTCTTTCTTTATCTCTAAAAATCAATAAAAACATATCCTCTGTCGAGGATTTAAAAAATAAAATAAAAATATAAAAGTGAAAAAAATAGAAGGGAGGGGTAGAAAATGTCAGCTAATACAAAAACAATGTTCTTTGAGCATAATTTTCAAACTTCATGTCTTTATTGTATATATCCTCAACAACCTATTATACATTATTTCATGCTACGGCAGTTCAAATCTAGTTACTTTTTAAAACTTAGGTGTTTTTTTTTTAAAAAGAAATCAATCCTAAGTGTTTGCTTTAATGTGCCAGACATGTTTTTTTTTCTAATTACTGTTAAAATAAATAGAAACAAACATAAATAAATAAATCTATATTTTTGAAAATAATGTTTTCCAAGTACTACCTAAAGTCATCATGTTGGAAACCAATGATTAGATGCAAATCTTCAACTTTGCACTGTTTCCTCCTCAAAAGCCCACCCATTGACCCTCAAAGACGGCACAGCCCAGGCTGAGTGCCCTGGGCAGGAACCTGGGGCTTAAAGATCATAACACACTCAGGCCATGCACTTACCTTTTAACTCAACCTGCAGACTCCTGCCTCCCTCCCTTCTCCAACCCACAGGACAGGTGTCCTGAGGGGCAGCTGCTCAACGCTGAGTGGGGAGATCGGCGTCTCACAGGGGGTGGGCATTGCTCCTGGCAGAGAAAGAGAAAAAGGTGAATTGAGGTCTTTCAAGCAGAGGTAGTGGGTGGCATACCCAAAGGACAAGAGAAAGGCCATGGGCACTGCCCTGCGTTTGGGAGAGTCCCTGGGGCTGAGCCCAGGTTAAAAGGCACAGTCTGCTGGCTGGTGGCCCCAGAGCATTGGCCTGCACAGTTTTAAATTTAAATCTTTTGCCAACTGAAAAGTTGTGGAGATTTTTATCTAAAACACAGATCCTTGGCTTTCCTATTTAAGATCAGTCCCCTCTCCTCAGCTCCTTGTTTCCATAGCACTTAATGACCTTTGAACTTCTATAAACTCTGCGCTTAACTGCTTAGGTTTAGTGCCAGCCCCCTCCCCGCCCCCGCCATGTAAGCTCCTTGAGGACAGGGGTTTTGTGCTTCCTTTACTAAGTAAGATATCTCGGTATTAAAGCCATGTGTCTGGCACTAGTAGGTGTTCAGTAAGTGTTTCAGCAAATGAGCAGTGGAGGTGGTGGGCTCTGGGGTGTGGGTTCTGGGGTTTCAGGCATTGCCAACCAGGAGGCCCTGGCTCCCCTCTGCCCCTGCCACGCAGTCTCTCCCGCACTGATTTAGGGGCAAGAAGGAAGCAAGCCTGAGGCTTTGACTTTTGATTTGGTCAGACTGGCAGGCGAGGCACCCCGCAGCTCACGCCAGGTTCTGGATTCCTGGGGTACCCCTAAATCCTGGCCTGGCGAGTTTATTGGGCAACACAAGGATGTGGGGAAGAGCTTGATCCTCTAAGAACCCCGCCCCGTTCCCCCAGACGGGAGGCAGGGGGAGCGATCTAGGGGGACGACGGGGAGACTTCACCACCAGAGGGCGCCGCTGCTCAGTGCTGATGGCTGCAGGCAGGGGCTCCCAGCTCCGAGGCGACCTGCTCCAGCTCTTCCACAAAGAGATGGAGGCGGGTTCGAGGGCCCACTTCTCCACTGGATTTTTGGTTCTTCACAGGCAGAACCCCCCTGTTCCAGGTCCAGGCCCAGTGCCCGGAGTGAATGGAGAATGAGTGCAAAGCGCCTCTAATTGGGCAGGAAAGTAGTTTTGGAGAAAAAGACAAAAGACAGCCAATCCAGGACTAAAGTCCTGAAGCTGCAGGTTCCCGCTGACCCCCTGGGATGGTACCGCGCTGGAGAAGAGCCCGGCCCGTGGGCATGCCCACTTCCTCCGTGGTCTCCTTCAGGACAGAGGCTGCCCCACTGCGTGCTCCTTTGGTGGACGCGGGGACAGAATCCATCCCACTATCAGGTTATGCGGGTTTCAAAGGGCAGGAGACAGAGTCGCTGCCGCTGTGGCACCAGGAAGGCCCCACATAGCGCTCTTCCCACCCCCACACCTCCGACCCCTTGGTGCCAGCCACACCACTGCAGCTACCTCAGTGCCCAGCCAGGGGGCAGGGCACTTCCTTGCTGTTCTCCCCCCAGAAAGGCCATGCCAGCGGCATGTGAAGGGAGGGCAGAGGGGAAAGAAGAGGGTCCTGCAGGACACTCCCTGGGAAGGGGGGAAGCCCTGAGGGGCAAACAGTAATTCCTGGCTTCCATGTATTGCTACAGAGGCCTTCTCCGTCCATCTCCCCAGCCTTTCCCCAGGGATTGTGATTGGCCCATTCGCATTGAGAAGACAGAGGCGCAAAGGGCTGAACTTTTTAAGAGCTACAGGCGATCTGGGTGGCACATGTTACCTGGAGCCCCAGTTTTACAGTCGGGGAAACTGAGGCTGGGCTTGGGACGCGAGGGCGTTGCTCAGACTGCAGAGATGGTCTCCTGCCCTCTGAGGCCGAGCTTTGGGGCCCCGCAGCGGGCCTGGCAGGCTGTCACCTCTAGGTCCTGCACCCAAACACAGTGCACTCTTAGCTGCTGCATCTGAGGCAGCCTTCCCAGTCGCCCTCCGCCCTGGGCTCCACCGGGTTCTCCTCCGGACCTCGCCTTTGCACTCGCGTCTGCATCTGAACCCGGGAAACAGCACTCAGCCCTCAGGCCGGCCTCCCCGCAGTCAGGCTCACAGAGGGCCCCCAGACACCCGCCAAGCCTGGGCGCACGCGGCCCGGGGCACCCTGGCACAGAGGGGAGGTGCAGGGAGGGGAGGTGGCAGGGAGGGAGGGGACAGTTGGAGCAGCTCCGCGGACCGGACCCAGGTCCGAGCCCCCAGAGGCCTCAGAGAATTGGCCCCAAGCCCGCCCCTCGCCGCGCGCCCCGCCCCGCCCGCCCCTCCAGCCTCTAAAGCGCCGGGCGCGCCTCCCGGCTCCACACTTTCACTCTCCGCCGCCGCCGCTCCTCCTCCAGCCTCGGTCCCCGCAGCCACCGCAGCCACAATCCGTGCCATGGATGCCAAGATCGTCGCCGTGCTGGCCCTGGTGCTGGCGGCGCTCTGCCTCAGCGACGGTGAGTGTGCCCGCGGGGAGGTCCGCAGGCACCTGGCTCCGGCAGGCTGCGGGCGCGGGCTCCGGGCTTGGGCTCCGGGCTCGGGGCTCGGGGCTCGGGGCTCGGGGCTCGGGGCTCCGCGGAGCCGCTGCTCCTTCCCCGCCGCCCGGAGCGGACGCAGCTCCACGGCTCAGCCCGCGGGGCGCTTCCTCCGTGCGGCGTCGAGTCCCGCGCGCAGCTCGGCGCCGGGCCCCGCGCTCTGCCCCGGGCCGCCGGGCTCGGGCTCCGCGGGCGCGGAGCGGTCCCACCAGAGCTGGGTGAGTGCCTCGGCGCGTTTCTGCGCGGGCCCCGGGGAGGGTGGGGAGCAACACAGAGTGGGAAGCCAACGGGGCGCGGCTGCCCGGCCCTGGCCCCTCCACCCCGGAGCCAGTCTTCCCGCGCGCCGCTAGGTTTCCAGAGGCGGATGGGCTCAGGGTCCGGGGGTGCGGTCGGTCGGCGGGTGTGGGTGCAGGAGAGAGCTCTTTGCAAGCCCGACTGCCATCGCCGGCGGAGGCCGTGCGATCGGCCCTCCCTCCGCAGAGGCGGCTCTCACTCTGCAGCCGCCCCCGGAGCAGCTGTCGGGTTCGCGCCACCCACCTGGCCGCGCTTCTCCGCAGCTCCAGCTCCGCGGTCCGAAGCAAAGCGCCAAACCCGGGCTCGCATCCAGCCACGGCCTCCTGGTCTCCTCCTGGGCCCCTCTACAGAGGCCCTGGGGGCTTCTCAGTCGCGTTTGCCCATGTCCCCACAGCACACCTGCAGAATGCGCCTTTGTGCAGCCGGACCGCCGGCTCAGAGTGAGCTCTGCCGCAAAGTTCCCTCGCCAAGGCCTCAGGCCATTGTGCACGGGGTGTCCCGTTTCACCGGGAGAGCGAGAGCGCTTTTCTTCTGAAGCCTGAGAGTATCCCCCCGTCCTGTCACTGGACACCACTGCCGCTGCAAACGAAAATAAACTCCCCAAAAACAAAAACAAAGCCATGTCAGGAAGGCCTTCCTTGCTGCCTGTTCTGTTCTTGGCTGCGAAGTCTACAACAGACTCTGCGAAGGGACGCAGGACGCTCAAGGGCTTGCTGTGGTGCAGCTGGGGTGTGCAGGGCGCCCTCCTGGAGCGCTCAGCTGGGTCGGGGGGAGGACCCCTGTGCCCGGTGGCAGGCAGCGGTGGGGGAGCCAGCGTGGGCAAGGCGAGGCATGCAACTGGACCGGGCAGCAGGGCCTGGGCTGACAGGTTCTCTGCTGACCCCTGGAAAATGTCCTCTGAAAGGGTAGCTAGTTGCTGGTCAGAGCTGCAGAGGGACCAGATCAAAGGCCAGTTAGAAGTTTCTGGGCTGAAACTGTATCCTAGGCTGGAATCTCCTATTGACTCCCCAGGCCCGGGAGGCACTGGTTTGGGAATTAACAATTGAATGGTCTTGTGAGAGCGGAGGCGCCACCACACACCTCTCTCTCCAGAGAAATGCCACTGCCCCAGTTGCAGAAAGCACTGGAGTGCTTGAATCTGGGCATCACTGACCTGGGGGGCGCAAAGCCACAGAGGCCTCCTGACCCTGGGAAGGCTTGGTCGCTTGCCCTTCTTGCCAGCCAAGTCTAGGGTCCTGGGCTCCAGGCGGGTCTGCTTCTCCTTGCATGCCCAGGCGAAAACACATTTTTTAAAAAACGCCTGGGGCCAATGCTGAGTTCCAAACTGCACTCCGCAGAGACCCTTGTGCAGGCTCAGGCTTGGGATCCCGCCCTTCCTCCCCTGGCCAACCTCAGCCGGAAGCTGGTGTTCTGAGTGACCCAGCTTCCAGGGCTTACACCCAGGGCGGCCCGTCCCCAGGCTTGCTTGGAGAGTCTGCCCAAGGCCTGTCTCTTCATTAAGGTGGAAGGTTGTCTGGTAAGCGCTCTGACATAAAGCCGAGGTCCCAACCCTCAGGAACAGCCAAGCTAATCAGGTTCCTCCTTGTACACGATGTCACACCCAGAAGAGCTGGGAAAGTTAGGGATAGTGACAAAAAGCTGTAGGAAAGGACACAGGTGGACAAAGCCCTGAGTTTTCTCCGTAAGTGCACTTGGACTCCGTCACTTTAAAAAACTATTGAGGCCCTGGCCAGGGAGCTCCATTGGTTAGAACCATATGCCAAGGTTACAGGTTCAATCCCAGGTCAGGGCACATATAAGAATTAACCAATGAATGCATGAATAAGTGGAACAACAAATCCATGTTTCTCTATCTCCCTCTCTCTCCCTTCTTCTCTCTAAAATAAATAAATAATAATAATAATAATAATAATGAACTATTGAAATTCCCCACTTGATAGACAAGCAAGTGGGTCCTGGGAGCAGGAATAGGAATTGCTTTGAAGGAACGGATGATCCCAGAGGATGAAGGGAGGGAGAGGAGTGAATGAGAGAGCCTGTGTTTTGAGTCCAGACTAGGCCTGCTCTGCCCTGCCCTGCGTGGAGCCAGGGCACCTCCATGGACACCCAAGGGCAGCAGCCCCACCCCCACCCACCACAGCGCTCACACCGCGCACCTCCCAGCTCCCTGTTGCTCCAGGATTGAGACCTGTCCTGGCTCCCCACTGCCGCAGCCCCTGCTCAGCCCAGTAGGACCATGAGCATTCTAGGGAAAGCTGGAGGCAGGCTGCTCAGCAGGGGACCTGGTTCCTCCTTTAGCCAGGCTGCCTAGCCCCGGCCTGGGCTTGCCTTCCAGGTGAGCTGGTTACCAGGCGGGGCAGAAGGGAGATGTCTGTGCGGTTGCTGAGAGCCAGGCCCCATCAGGGACTTTCTGGGTTAGACCTGGGTCCCTGGGAAGGCTGCTCCGTGCTATCCTGCCCCGCGGGTCCACCAAGCGCCCTGAGCCGGGCTTATTCCTTCTGTTTCTCAGGATAGTGAGATTGGTTGGGGAGGGGGCCTGCTCTTCCAGGACTTGGTGGCTAAATTGGCCACCCCTTGCCATTTCTCAACTGCATGCAGCCTTTAGGGAAAAAAAAACAAAACAAACAAAAAAAAAAACGGAAGCAGCCCCTACTTTGCAAGCTTTCCTGTGGCTTCCCCAGCCTCTAGCCCCAAAGTGCACACCTTCAGAACCAACGGAGGCCCCAGGGAGCCTGCAAACAGAGCACTTAAAAACGCGTCCCTGGACTGAATATTCTCAGACATGTATTTAAGCCCTGATGAAAGGATCCACAGATTCAAATGATTTGGGCTATTAAGTGAGGCTTGGATAAAATCTGCAGGAAAAGCCCTGGCAAACCCCCTCCCCCAGGGCTTGCAATGCTAGACTTAAAGGGTAAGGGTGGGTTCTGCAGGAGCCCTTTGCTAATTTACACTAATGAGCAGCAATTATGGCATTTTGCAAATTGGTGAATTTGCAAACAAAGATGTAATCCAGCCCAGGAGGCTGCAGGGTCCTTGCCCTGAAAGCCATGTATGACTCCACCCTGACAGTCTCCATGCCTCTGGGGAGGGCTGGGAAGAGGAGGCTCTGGTCCTGTCCACCCAGGTGGGAGCCAGGCTGGATTCCTTTGTGGCTGCTGGGCTTAAGGTAAATGAGGCGAGAAGGGGGTGGGGGGAAGGGATTCTGGAGGACAGTAATCCTAGGAAGTCTGTGATGCTCCTGGGATGAGGTCTGTGCCAGAGGAGGGAGGAGCCCTGGGTCTGAGTAGGGAGGACTTTCTCACTTGGCTCTGGAGAGTTACTTCGCCAAGAATAGCTGGGACCTCAGTGCCTCTGGCTGAAATAGTTCCCTCCTGTGATGAACATCTTTTATCTTAAGAAACCTGAGCAGGGACTGCTCATTGTCATTCTCCCACCCTCCCTCCTCCTGGGTCCATCTCTGCACAGGTCCTCCTGGCCTCTAACCCTGGCGAAGCTGAGTCCGAGCCCACAGCGTTCGCTGTGCTGCCCACGGAGGAGGTCTTTGCCAGGATCATCAGTGTGCATCTCTGAGGCCTTGTGGGCGGGGGAATAACGAGCCGCCGCGTGCTTCTTTCCTCTCACAGGGAAGCCCGTCAGCCTGAGCTACAGATGCCCTTGCCGATTCTTCGAGAGCCACGTTGCAAGAGCCAACGTCAAGCATCTCAAAATCCTCAACACTCCGAACTGCGCCCTTCAGATCGTGTAAGTGTGAGCATCCTCCGGGAATGCTGCATCTTTTGGGCACGGTGACCCCGAACTGGCGGACTCCGTGAGGCTAGAGAAATGACACGTGCCAAGTGTCCAGCCTTGAACTTGACATGAGTAGAGGCAGCTGATACTACCATGAGGCCTTTGAGTGCAGCACCAGCCATCCTTCCTTGCCCTCTGTGCCCACAGGGGCCCTTGCCTCTCCTTTCTAAGCCTCTTCCCTCCAGCACAGGAAGTGGCCGTGCCTCTGGACTAGAGAAACGCTGGCCTCCCCAAAGTTTGTGCTCACGTTCAGGTCTGGCAGACACAGCATTAGCCTACAATGGCACCCAGATTTGAACCCCCATCCACTCTGCCCCTAGGCTTACTTTTACTTCTGTCTTCTTTGTACCCTTCTTTGTCAAGAGGGTTCGCCAAAACAAAAATCCGCTGTTCTCTCCAGTGTCCCTCACACGCTCCCGTACCTTGCAGATAGAGGCCTACTGTGCCCCTCCATCTGGCCACAGGCTTCCTGAGTGCCCTGGCTCTTGCCCTCCTCCTCAGGCTCTGTGTTCCATTTCCCTCAAACTCCAGCCAGTGATTCCTGTGGGGACTCTGCCTGGCCAGCACCTGGCTCAGGGGCTCCCACGAGTGTGTCTGAGTGAGACACATAGATGCACACCCCCCACTCCTGTCTCCGCAGGGCCAAGCTGAAGAACAACAACAGACAAGTGTGCATCGACCCCAGGCTGAAGTGGATTCAGGAATACCTGGAGAAAGCTTTAAACAAGTAAGCCCAACAGCCAGAAAGGACTTTCCACTAGAGCCACTGGAGGAAAGCTAAAACTGTGCGAAAGTCCTGAGCGGGCAAAGGTGTGGGAGGAAGGCCTGCTTGGCGAGGGCCAGGCGGGAGGTTTGCCCGGCATGTAGACACCTGCATTATAGCCTATGGTACGATATCACAGCTTATAGTCATGCACCCGGACCCTTGCACATCGGCTGTTTTACAGCCGGGGATTTTCTGAGAGATTGTATTATCGCCACAGCATTTCCCACTAGTCACTTCCCCTGTGATCATCACCATCATATCATCATTCTCATTATCCCTTTTAAAGTCAACGATTACCTAATATCTATGTTTAGTTTGCTTTGGATTTTTCCTCTTCTCCCCTGGGGAGTCTGGGCACAGTCAGGTGGTGGCCAAGCATGGAGCTCAGACAAGTAGTGGCCTTCCTCCAAAAGCGGAGGCATGGAGGGAGATTGGGGGGGGGGGGGTGCACCCATCCTGGAATGGGGGCCCAGGGCAGCCCACAGACACTGACCATCCTAGACAGCGGTCAGCGCCTCCTCTTTCAAGCGCAGTGCATGGGCCCCTGGGCTCCACACAGAGGCCATCACTGGGGACTGTGCTCAGAGACCCCCTCCTGCCATCCCCGCCTCTCTCTCCCGCCACAGCATGCTTTCCCCTCACTCCGCTCACATTTCCCTCTGCTTGCTCGAAGAGGAGGGGGAGCTGGGGCTCCGGCCCTCAGTGCCCTCCTCCCCGAGCCTTCCTCCTGCTCAGGCCCTCTGTGAGAATCTGCTCCAGCCACCCCCAAAACGGGGCTGGCCTCCCAGAGCGTGGGACCCCAGGTCCCCCCTTCCCATGAGAGACACGTCTCTGCAAACTCCAATGCAGTTCCAATCGGAGAGCTCTCTTGGAGGAGCTTGGTTTCAGTGATTGCCTCTGAGGCATGTGTCGTCCCCCAAGGCGCTCCAATTGCTAAGTTTTCTGAAACCCGAGGTGAAAATTAAGTGACTGAGTGAGCCTCTTACCGCTGACTCCTGCTCCTGAGGCCACGGCAGCTCAATCGGAAATGCTGGCAAGGTGACATGTCCACCCATAAATGTGATCCACAGACGGGCCTGGCGGTGTTTGTAACGTTTTGCAAGGCATTTTTTATATATATATATATATATTTTTGTGCACACTTTTTAAAACATTTCTTTATAAGACAAATGTATTTCAGAATATATTTATACTCAAACAATTCCTACGTTTGAAGTGGAGCCATAGAATGTCAGTAGATACGTTTCTCTATTATCTTAAACTACTGGCAGTTTGTAAAGAGACACGTAGCAATGTGATGGAAGCTTTTTAATGTTGGTCACAGTGTATTTTCCACTTGTACTAAGATTGTATCAAATGTGACATTATATGCACTAGCAATAAAATGCCAATTGTTTCATGGTACAAGCATCCTACTGTATGTGGGAGTTTATTGTCCGGAGGTAAACCGTTAGCTGTCAGACATGGAGTTCTTATACGTCTCCACGCCGGCCGCGGGTCAGGTGCTGTGGGTCCCTCCTGCGAGGTCCCGGGTGAGGACCAGCACACGGGCCTCGCTCAGGAGCACATGAGACCCGTGACTCACGTTTTTGCGTTTTTTTATTTGTTTTTTTTTTGTTTGTTTTGTTTTTGTTTTTAACCCAATGGAAGCAGCGTTGCTAGTTTTCTGGAGAATAATATTTGACTCACTAATTCCTCTTCCCCCTCCTTCTCCTCGGTTCTCCTAACATCCCCACATAATCTCTAGAGACTCAACCCTTATAATATCCAGCTCTCACATTTTCCCATGTAAAATGCCCATCCTTCCAGCCCATGGTTAATACCAAGCTTTCCCAGGAACAGGTGGCCGTACCCCATAAATCATTAAATACCATTCAGCTTGAATCATTTTAATGTGACAGCCATGAGCCAGTTGCTCTAATAAGATTCCGCTAACCAGCTCTCTCCCTCATCCTTCTGACCAATCTCAGCCATGCCCAGGGGTCTCCACAGGCATCCGGGAAGTAGAAGGTGGACCATGCCGCCTTCTCCTCCACCCCCCACCCCCCACCTCCCCGGAGGGCCTGCTGAGCCCCAGCTCCCGCCTCTGGTGTGCAATGCAGAGGTTTATAAATTAAATGGAGAGCTCAGCTCTGCACCGGGAAGGAAGGAGGCCTGGGGAAGCAGGTGCGGGGAGACAGAAGATGCAGCCCAGCCTGGCCCTGGTTAGTCTTCACACCCTGTTAGGTGTGAACTCCTTCCCCACTGCCAGCCGCAGGCAACAGGCAACTGTGAGGAGAGCCAGGGCCACACTGGCAAACTGGCGATGGCTGTACTGAGTTCGCAGGTGTGGGGGAGCCTCGCAGTTTTGTGAATCACGGCAAATGCCCACTTTACTTCCCTGAGGTGGACAGGGCTGTCCGGGGGCCTCCAGGCCTGAGGACTGAGCGGCACCAGTCTAGGGGCCAGTGTGAAGTGCTGTGCAGGGTGAGGCAGACTCTTGTTTATTTCCACGTCATTAATGGTTCTACTAATTTTATCGAAGGGGGCGCAGAGAAGAAAAAGTGGGGAAAAAAGAAAAGATAGGAAAAAAGAAGCGACAGAAGAAGAGAAAGGCTGCTCAGAGGAGGAAACACTAGTCTCTGCACCGGAGCCGACCGCAGTGCGCGCTGTGCCTCCCTCCCGGCGCTTTGTAAATGGCTCTCCCCCTCCGAGCAGACCCTGCCCCCCGGGCTCGCACTCCGAGGGGAGCCGTGCTCCACCGCCGCCGCTGTGGCCACGCTGGCCCTGCCTTTTGTGCTTACTGAGACCGCCCTGGTCTGCTAAATTTTGAAGACAGTAGTCGTGCAGAGACTGAGGTCGGGGTCCGGGGCTTGGGGACCATGCTCAGGACTCTCTCTAGAGTGGCCTGGGTCTCCATCATCCTCCGGCTTCCAGAGCCTCCCGCCTGCCCTTCACTCCCTCCCTTAGACGGCCCTGAGCACTCCAGGCTCAGCACACCTACAGGCTGCTCCAGCGTGCCTGCTGGCCACCATCCATCGCAGTCAAGTCTGCTCGCCCGTGCAGGCCTGGCCTGTGCCCTCTCCTTGCTGCCAGAGGTGCTGCCCACCCAGGCATTCTCGGGGCAGAGCCGGCCTGGCCCTTCCATTCGAGGTGATAACGGACTCTTTTGCCCATGTCCCTGGCCTGGCCCTCACCCCTGCCCCTGGGTGGATGTCCCCAGCCCCTCCCCAGCCGGGCGGTGTGAGGCCGCCCCTCCAGGCTCAGGGGGTCTTTGTATGAGGTGCTTCTCGGTGCGCCGGGTATTTATTTGTAGATTCCTTCCTCACACGGGTCCGGCGGCGCGGGGGCAGCTCTGGGGCTCCCAGCTCCGCTCCCCCTCCTCCGGTCTGCAAGAGTCTCCGTGACCTGCGGTTAGGTTGCAGGACACAGCTGCCTCAGTCCTCACTCCTGGGAAATATCTGTTAAAGAGACAAGGTTTAAATTCTAGAACTTCGCTCGCTGCCCTCCCTACAGAATTATGTCTGAGATTTCTTGCCAAGCCTCTCTAACTTGGACCGGAAAGGGGAGGGTGTTCAGGGGGAGATGTCAGTACTGCTTTGACAAAGGATGCCTTTCCAATGTACCCTTCTCCCACTCCCAGAACACACCCCGCCCCCACACCCCAGCCCTGTCACAGTGTACCGTGGATCCAGACAGACGCAGGGGATGGAGGGCATAGCCCATGGACCTCGGGAGAAGAGAGTTCAAGGTGGCTGTGTGTCAGCCGCCCCTGGTCCCAGGCTGCGCCCCCTGCTGCTCAAAGGTGCCCCTGGTGGTCACAGCTTCCTTTTGCCACTGGAGGGGTTTCATTGCCATCCCTTTTAGCTGGCGAAGGCTCCCAGCCCCTCCCCTATGGCCAGCACTGGGGTGGTGGCCTGTGCCTGGATGTGCGAGGGCTGATCCTGGAACACCCACTCCCCTCCTGCCTCTGGAGGCATCTGGATGTGTCCTGGATGGCTCAGGGCCGCGGTTTCTCCTGCAGAAGGTCAGGGGCTGGCTGGACTTTTCCTAATTTGCACATGTGCCAGCCAGACCGATCAGCAAGCCTGTGCCTCGTGCTGTCCTGCGCTCTTTACACGGGGGAGCAGCCACCTCTGCCTGGAGGGGGCGACAGGTCCTCCCTGAGAGAGGAGTAGCTGCCCTTCAGCAGCAGGTCAAGCTGTGGCCAGCCTGAGGCGACAGACCAGTGCTCAGGGGGGACAGAAGGGGTTGCGGGGACCAAGAGAGCCGGCCCCGTGTTAGGACCTGCAGGCCAGCATCGTCTGGCTATTACACCACCCCACTGGTCCTGGGCTTCACTGTGACCGACAAGCAGGCTTAGCCCGGCCCCGCGGAAGGGTCCTGGGTGGCTGGGGAAGAGCCGAAGAGCCGGGCCTCCATGCTGAGCCGGGCTGGCACTGGGCAGTGCCCACGTGTCTGCCCCAGGTGAGTGGTGTGTGAGGTCCGCAGTGGGCGAAGGCAGGTGCCTGCCCTGACCTGCGGCCTCCGCGCCAGCCTGGCTCTGTGCTCTCGTTCATCTGCAACCATCATGCTTCTGCCCGTCTGTCGTCTCCACCTCCCGCTTCCCCGCCTCCCTGTGCTTCACCACGGCCGTGCTGTCTCACTGCCCTTTACTCCCCGGGGCCGCGGAGGGAGGTCAGGAGCCCCTGCCGCGGTGAGCTCTGCAGGAACCTGCCTTAATGGTGTCTCCTCTCTTCTTGTTAACAGGAGGCTCAAGATGTGAGAGGCGCGGGCTGGGTCAGCGCCCAGGAGGCCTCCGGGGGGCGGGGGCGAAGCCAGTGCTAGGAAGGGCCCGGGGTCTCCTGGCATGGCTGGACAGGGCCCAGTGCGCTCCCAGGGCTGGTTTTGCACAATTTACCTTACTCTCACCATTTGATTATGTAGCAAAATATATTCGGATTTTTTTTTTTTTCCATTTAGCTCAATTATCCATGTCACTGGTGACAAATAGGAACTTAGACAGAAGCCATTATTTTATGTGCATTATTCTATCTGTACCGTGGAGCCCGGTCTGACTGGGGTCCCTGAGAGCTGAATGGCTCTGAACCACACAGGCTGGGACCCCAGGTGGAGGGGCAGAGCCACCAGGAGGGTCAGGACCCATTTGCACAGGCAAACCCCAGTGTAGGCAGCCACCAGGGGCGGGGGCAGTCCCAGAGGGCCAGGCAGGGCTCCCAGCCGGCCGGCAGCAGGAGGGAGCCCAGGGCCAGGCGGGGCCTCATCCGCGCTCTCCTCTCCATTTCATCACGCTCCTCGCATCATCCTCTCTCATCCATCACCATGTGCGTCTGAGACTGTCGTGACCCGGGAAGGACTCTCAAGACAAAAGCTTTGTTTAAACTGGGCATCAAGAAGCAAACCCAAGTGCGTTCTGTTACCACGTCCTGGGGATGCTGTGCGCATCCGTGTCCACTTTGCCATGTTGTCCGTCGTCTGATCCTGTTTTCTTGTTCAAAGCCGTGTCCTCGTGCTGCCTTGTCAGCTCCCCACATGCAGAGGCCGAGGGAGGGGAGCTGCCCGGGGCTCCCCGGGCCCTGGTCAGGGCTGCCATCATGTGGGTGGGGTGGCCTTGTTTTCCCCGCTGAGCACAAAGCCGTGGAGGATGGACGGAGCCCCAGGGAACCCAGTGAGCGGCAGTACTGAGGCCCAAGGAACTCGGACCCTCCCCTTTTCTGAAGGTGGGCTAGCTCAGAGCTACAGGCTTTGTTTTGAGAATCACAGAAATAACAAGACAAGAATTCTTATCTTGGCTTTGAAATCACAGTCCATAAAACACTTCATCCTGGGTATTTTTTTCCTGATTAGAGCTGACCTCAGCACTTCTCCCTGGGGCAGCCCATCATGCCTTCCCTACCCGTGGCCTGGGCTCCGCTGCTGTGGCTGCTACCTTTGTATCTGGGAGCCCACTCCAGCCTCCCTGTTGGACGGGACGTGCGGGAAGTTGGCTAAGAGCCCTCTGTTTGACATGTTTCCCTGTACTGAGGGCGTTTTGTGGAGTTACCTTAAACAATTGAAAATTTCACTTTTTAAGAAAGGAGGCACTGAAGGGGTTTTGCTTGTTTTGTTTCTTAGTTGGTCTCACTAATATGTTTTCCCTTTGATTGAGGATCCAGTCAACTTTTTAAAATTAAGAAAGTAGGAAAAAAGAAGGGGTTGTATCGATTGATAGGCCACTGCGAACAGCAGGCAGAAAGGACATGACAGGGCGATGACTTTGAACTGTAGGTGTTTGTAGATGTAAATGACCTTTGGGTTATCAGTAGCAGTAGGTGTTAGGCATGTCATAAGGGAGGCGAGACTGGTTTCTGGACCCTCTTTTAAAATTAACCTGTCACTACAGGGCTCCTGAATCACACATGAAATTATTGAATTTTCAGCCGGAGGCTCATTTTCTAGGTATCTAAAAATAGTTCCTGGATATTTAAAAATCTCATGGAAAATTTGGAAGCATCTTCCACTGGAATCCATGAGCCAGAGCCACTAAACCCAGATGTTCGGGGAAATATGCTACTAAATCTTGACTATAGTTAAATATAGTCATTTCTGTGTCTCCTGACAGGAGAGGAAATAGGTGAGAGTAGGAACTGCAGGGAAAATTGTTTGTGTAACAATTTCTGTCCCTGCCATCTGCTCCTGAAAGGAGACTTCCCAGCTGAAGCATAGACGTGTTCAAACAGTCCCTTTGCAAAGGAAAGGCTCGCCCTCTGGCTTCTAAAACTCAAGTCAAGTACATCAGGCGATGAGGGTCACCCAGCTGCTCCTCCGGGCCCAGGCTGCTGCTCCCTGACCTTCCCTCTGGCTCAGCATGACCTCCAGGCAGCCCTTCCCGCCAGCCTCTGCATCACGTGGCCCGAGCTCCGGGGGCGGGCTCCCCTGTGTGCTGTGTGCTGGAACCTGAATCTGTGCCGTGTGTTGTTTGTACTGTTCTCTGTCCTGCTCTGGCCGGGTGCTGAGAACCCAGCGAGGAGGCCCAGAAGGGCCCTCTGCCGGTGTGAGCAGGGGGCCTGTGTAGCAAGGGCTGTTGGGCCCCTGTGAGTCCAGAGGGGGTTTGATCGCACCTTCCTTTTCTGAATGCTTCCTGGTGCGGCCAACGGGCTCCCTCACCGGACTTCATCGCCCTTCTCAGGGATATGCCCTTCCGCAGCTGGATGAGAAATGTGGGGTCCTGGCCCCTCTACACATCTTCTCTGGCCCTCTTCTGAGGGAATCTGCCCCTGGAACCACCCATGTCCTCTCAGCAGACCCCTGACATTGCCGATTGAAAAACCCCACAGGGAAGCCTTTTGTCCCCAACCTCGCTGGACTCTCAGCCCCTGGGCAGGGATGGGTTCAGTGTCCAATGTGGTAAATACTGTATCTTGTTTTGTTGAAATTGCATCTCCCAGATAATGTGAAAATGGTCCAGGAAAGGCAGCTTCCTGTATGCAGTGTGCTTTCCTAATAAGTAACAATTCCTTCTGAGAAACAATGTCTACTCTACTTTCATATCCATGAAAAGATGTACTGTATATGCACTTATAATTGTTCTAATAAAGACACGTACTCAAATGCAGCAGCCAGACCTGCTTGAGAATTAGTGTTAGCATTTGGAGTGTTCCGGACTTGCTTTTTCTCCCTCAGGCCCCAGGGGTGTGTAATTCTAGCCACTGTGGTGAGTGGAAAACAGGCCATTGTAATGCTAAGCATGAGCCTGAGCTCTGGGGGCTCACCTGCCCTCCTAGTCCACTGACCCTGAGCTGGGAAAGCTGCACCCTTCCCCGTGTCCTTGGCTTTGCTGAAAATCCTTCTTAAGGACAAAGCAGCCCTCTGCTCCAGGAGGGATGGCGTTGGGCGGGGCCCAGGTGTCTGCTGACGGCTGTGGGAAGGAGACCTCCACCCTGGGCTTGTCAGGCTTTGGTGGAGACAGACAGAGGCCTGTCCCTCAGGGCCCCACCCCGGAGCCTCTCTGTCCCACACAGGGGCCTCTGAAAGCCAGGACTGATGCTCTCCAGTGCTACCCAGCACCGTCCCGAACCCTGTCCAGGGCTGAGCCTGACCGGCAGGGCTCTGTCCTCATGGAGGTCAGCCCTTCCTCACTTCCTACCACATTCTCTCTGGCCCACATCAGCCATCCGAAAGGGGAGGCCCACACACACACCACCAATGTCTGAGCCCATGTCCTTCTGTCCTCCAGACTCTTGTCCCAGGCTCAATGGGACTGCAGCACCACTGAGCCCAGATCCTCCCTCCTACGTACAGGGCGACCACAGCCAGATGGACTGACTGGAGGACTAGAGGAGGGGGAGAGGAGGCCACAGTGAGCCGCATCCTGGTCCTGAGACAAGTATGGCTGGAGTCCTGCTCTCTGCTCACCTGGGATTTGAGACACGCCCCTTGCCTTTCCAGCTTCGGCCTAAGCTTAGTAGCGCCAGGAGATGTAAGGGTTAGGCTGGACAGTGTGTATGGCAGCCATCCCCCTCTCTCAGCCTGCTGTCCCCAGGGTTCACCACGCGGGAGGCAGCCCACACCTGCCTCTATTTCTCCTGCAGCAAAGCTCAGATACCAACTAACTATGAGTGATTCAACATGAGCTTCTCATGCTCAGCGGACAGTGGGGAGTAGCCTCTTGGTGGGGGTTTGTAGGTTCCTGAGAGCCTGTACCGTGCTGATCCACACACTCCACCCCTGTTCTAACTCTAGGAATGAGCGACCTCTGGGTTAACCTTTCAGAATGATGCCAACTCTTCACAATGACACAGCATGCTATATAATAAAGAGCTAATATGCTAATTAGACTGAACAGCAGAACCACCTTCTGGAAGGTCGTGACCTTCCAAAGCTGCGAGGGCAGAGCCTCTTGCATGAATTTCTTGCACGGAGCCTCTAGTTGAAAATAAAGTCCCTGGACTTTCACGCCTGCATGGCTGTTGGCCCTTATTAGTCAGCTGATAGCTGCCACACCAGGCCTGTCCCAGGGGCTGTGGAGACTGCAGTGGGCAGACAGCTTCCTCCCTGACTTCATGGGCCTTGCAGTCAGAGGGCCGGACCTATAGTTCAGGGAGCATTTTCCTAAAGCTGCTAAGGGGAGGCTGATGGCAGAGAAGCTAGGATGCCATCAAGCCCTGCTGAAGCTGAGCCCTGAGAGAAGGTTCTTTTTGGGGGTGACCTGACCCCTGGGACTGCCCGTGAGAGTCCATGTGAGGCCGAGCTCTGAGTGAGAACCCGGAGTTTCTTGGAGCCCAGTTTTCTGTCCAGGAGCACAGAGCTGGGGTTCAGACCGCTTCGGGACCCGAGGCTTCTCTACTTGCAGCTGAGACCTTGGATAGGGAGGCGTGGGGAATGGAGACAGGAGCAGAGGGAGCCACAGCTGGATGAAATGGATTTGGAGAGAGAAGCAGGGGTGAGAGACCTGTTAGCTCCAGAGGAAGGTGCGATGGGGCTGCCCACAGGGGAGAGAAGTGACTGGGAAGGTCCTTGAGTGGTCCAGCTGAATGCCCTTCTCTTGGGGTCTGTATACTCTAAACAATTCCTGCTTAAAAGCTAAAATGAGGATTGCTGCTCATTGCACCCACATAACCACTCAAGGGGCAAGTAGGCAGGCAGAGTGGACAAGGCGGTGGGGCAGAAGAAGGCTGTGGGCTGGTGCACACAGACTTCCTACCCCTTTCCCTGTCCAGCCTCCCCAAGGGTCTTTTTGCCTGTCCTCTTGGTTTCCATTGAACTCCAAGGAAAGACCATTCAGAG